GGTCTTAGCCACTCCCAAATTTCTTTTGGCTTCTGAATTTCTCTTTCCTTTCTTATGCAGAACAATTTATTAATATAGGCACAGAGCCTCCAAATGTGCATATCCACACTTTTAAATTATCTGGACCACTCTAAAATTAGAAGTACCAGAGACTTGGAAATACACTGTGCTTATGGTTCATCGGTTCTTCTTCTTTTTTTTTTTTTCTGTTTCATACGGAACCAAAAATGCCCTGTCTGTCTAAAACGTGAATTCAGTGGGTAGCAAATGAAACAAAGCCCCTTTGGGATGTGTCTGTTTTAGAAGTCTGAGTGTGGTGGAAAGGTGACTGCGCTGAGCTCCAGGACGGGTAGATTCTACTTCAGCAGGTCACAAGGACCAGCTGTGAAACTTGTTAGACAAGTTCATTTAACTGTGTGCCAGTTTTCTCAACCACCAAATGAGAAAAACAAAATAGGTCTTATGTATTTCACAGGCTTGTTGTAAGGTTCAAATGAAGATATAATTAAAACAAATTTGTTTTAACTTTATAGCCTTGTGTAATGTTTGACCAATGTTACAATTAGCATGTGTCGCACATAGTTTTTCTTTTGGAGGGGTTGCAAAGAGTATTTATGGCATAATCTAATTTACGCAAAAAAAAAGAAAACAATGTATATTTGTATTCAAAGCTTGCAGGATATACAAAAAATTGATATCAATGATTAACTATGGGGAGTGGCAAGGGGAAGTGTTGAGTGGGTGGGGAAAGAGGTTTCTATCTGTACACTTTGAAAATGTTTGAATTTTCTTAACCATGAGCATATACAACTTTTATAATAAGCACTGGGCATGCATGCTGCTACTACTACTACTACTACTACTACTAGGTTGGACTACCAAGCCACTTAGGTCAGACAAGGATGGCTCTGCTCACCACATTGAGGGGGCAGAAGAAACCCCACATTGTCTGGTTTCTTTTATATCAAGAACCTCTATTTGTCCAACAGTCAAGTTAGGGTTAATTATTTACATCACAATGATTCATGTTACAATTTTTATTTTTATTTTATTTTTATTATTTATTTATTTATTTATTTATTTTGAGACGGAATATCGCTCTGTCTCCCAGGCTGGAGTGCAGTGGTGCGATCTCTGCTCACTGCAAGCTCCGCCTCCTGACTTCCCACCATTCTCCTGCCTCAGCCTCCCAAGTAGCCGGGACTACAGGCGCCTGCCACCGTGTCCGGCTAATTTTTTTGTATTTGGTAGTAGAGACGGGGTTTCACCGTATTAGCCAGGATGGTCTTGATTTCCTGACCTCGTGATCCACCCACTTTGGTCTCCCAAAGTGCTGGGATTACAGGAGTGAGCCACTGTGCTCGGCCATGTTACAATTTTTAAATAAAATTCACATATGGTCCAAACTCTTTGAGTGCCTTTGAAACATCTGACCCATGCTTTAGGAGCAGGGCTCACGCAATAATGAAGATGTTCTTTGTTTTGTTTGTTTGTTTCTTGGAGATGGAGTCTTACTCTGTCACCCAGGCTGGGGTGCAGTGGTGCAATCTCAGCTCACTGCAACTTCTGCCTCCGGGTTCAAGTGATTCCCCTGCCTCAGCCTTCCAAGTAGCTGGGATCACAGGTGTCCGCCACCACACCCAGCTAATTTTTGTATATTTAGTAGAGATGGGGTTTCACCTGTTGGCCAGGCTAGTCTCGATCTCCTGATCTCAGGTGACCCACCTGCCTCGGCATACTGGCATGACCACAACACCCAGCCTGTTTTGTTTGTTTGTTTGTTTGTTTTTGAGATGGAGTCTCACTCTGTCACTTGGGCTGGAATGCAGTGGCTCGATATTAGCTCACTGCAACCTCTTTCTCCCTGGTTTAAGTGATTCTCCTGCCTCAGCCTCCTGAGTAGCTGGGATTACAGGCGCCTGCCATCATGCCCAGCTAATTTTTATATTTTTAGTAGAGACAGGGTTTCACCATGTTGTCCAGGCTGGTATCGAACTCCTGACCTTAAGTGATCCACCCGCCTCAGCCTCCCAAAGTGCTGGGATTACTGGCGTGAGCCACCGTGCTGACACTAAAGTGTTCTTGCACACAGAGTATTGTCTTACAGTACAGGGAACCTGGATTGGAGTTGAAGGCAGATTTTTTTCAGAGGTTGGGGTGGAAGGATGAGAATGTGAGTATTCAACTTGAGAGGAGAAAGGGTAGGGGTTGTATAGTGATTCATACTTCGCTTTGTAAAGTTATTTTTACCTGTGGTCTGTTTCTGTGTCCACATAATAACTGCAATAATAACAAATATTTGAGAGGTTAGACCTGAGCAAAAGCCTCATTTTATTAAACAGTGGGGCCTGGTGATTGTCCCATAGTCTGTCATCAGGGGTGTCCTGACTAAAAGAAGGGACAGGATTGTGTCTTGGTCACAGAGGGATCATCACCCTTCCTCTCTGCTTCTACTCCCTCCAGCCATCTCGGCCCTAAATTGCCAACACAGGCAGATTCCATTGGATTTAAGCCTTTCCTTCAGTCCCATCAGCACGAATTGGGCATATGGAATCCAGAGGTCTGTGAGTCACACTTTCTTAGGACACTCTCTACAAGTCTAGAGAAATGACCAGAAGGGGAAGGAAAGGAAGGGGCCCTGGGGTCCACCCAGAGCTGATGAAGAGGCCCTAAGCCGTACAAAGGTGGAGGCATCTTCAGGTGTGTGTCAAAGTACGAAGTTAACTGTATAAATTAGTGCAAGTCCAGCAACACCCTGGATTTCCCACGATGATTATTTTGAAACAGTTTAAACATTTTATTTTAGATCTCTTTTTCTGTTTTTTCCCCGAAAGCCCGCTGGCTCCTAGGTTGGCTGTTGCCCTAGGCACAGCTGAGCCCGCCTGTGGTTCTGCACTCGGAGGTGCAGAGAAGGCCGGAGCGTCACAGAGAGGCTCAGGACGTCAGGGAGCTGAGGGCCTAAGATAAATAAAGTATAAACAACCGCTGTTCGAGACTCAAGCCCGTGTCCTTTCGCCTCATGCGGGCCGCGCGCTGGCCAAGGGCGGAGCTGGATCCCAGGGAGCCGCTGTCTCCGCTTCGCCGCCCTTCGCGCGCCCCACTTCAGCCTTTCAGGGTAAGGCAGGAACCCTTTTTCCAGACGGCAAAGAAAGGAAAGACTTTGCCGGAGAAAGAGGCAGCGAAGGTGAAGATGGGCTCCTGGGTCTGGGCGTTGAGGAGGGTCACCTGTCCGGCCTCGTAGTCCAGGGCGACGCCCACATAGCGCGGGATCTCGCTCAGCGGCAGGTCGGTGCCCGGGGAGGTGCTGGCCCAGCACTGCTGGTGCGAGATGATCACGGCCCAGACGCCGTCCTCGGCGCTAAGGCCCATCTCCCCCTTCCTCCTCACCCCCTCCCCGGCCACCCCCACCGTGCAGCCGCCGCCGTCGCCGAGCTGCAGGTCAACCTGCCAGCGGTGGCGCCCCGAGGAGAAACCTGGGAAGCCCAGCACCGCCGGGAGGCCGTCGAAGCGCAGGGGGCTGTCTGGCAGGTTCTTCTTCTGCCGGGTGTACCTCACTGACTTCCTATCTTCTGAAAGAACCAGGCTCCGGCTGGCGGTCTGAGGGTCCAGAGTGATGACCCCTAGAGGGAGGAGAGCGCAGACATCAACAGCGGGCAGCAACCACAGATGTTCCTAGAGCAGGCCAGGCGCGTGGGAGGCAGAAGGAATACTGGACTTGGGCAGCCTGTCATTGGGCTCTGAACCGCCCTTCTACCTAATCAGCCAGTGGTGCTGTAAGGATTTGCTTCTCAAAGTGCACAGGGAGGGACCAGCAGCATCCCCATTGCCTGGGAGCTTGTTAGAAATGCAGAATATTGGGCCCGATCCCACCCTACTAAATCAGAATCTGCATTTTAACAGGATCCCTAGGAGAACTTTCTGCATGTTAAGTTTGAAAAGCACTGATCTATACCAGAGTGAGTGAGGTGATGCTTATGGAAACAATTTCGAAATTAAGCACCAATTTAAAAATAAATGTGATTTTTTTTAAATTGCACATTTGTTCAAATCAATAAAGAGTCCAGCACAATGCTGCTCAAAAAACTAAGACTTGATAAGTATTTTTCAACGAGTAACATCTATACAAGTAGATGACATTAATTGAGCACTTACTATGAGTCAGGTAATACACTAAGCTCTCTGCATGTATTAATTCATTTAGTCCTCACAGCTACTTATGGGACAGGTATAGTACCTTTTTTTTTTTTTTTCATTTTACTGATGAAGAAAATATTGCGGGACAGAGGCTTAATAACTTGCCCAGTGTCTCAGAGAACTCAAGCAATGAGGCTCCAGAATTAATGCATTTTATTGCTCTGTTTGCTGCCATGGATTGAATGGGTGAATGGAAGAATGACTCCCCAAGTCCCAAGCTGTTTACCTGAATCTATTTCCAGATGATGCGCCAAGTTTTCTGTGGGAAGCAGAAATAGAAAAAGAGATCTGTGACTTATTACTTCTTATAGGCACCCCCAGGGGCAAGGTGTCTTGAGTACAATGTGAAGATGAGGACAGAAGCCTTGGCTTCTGCTGTGGTCTAGTGGAGGAGAAGTGGTCCCCACCAGATGTGTATAAGAGACAGGTCCTGACTAAAAGAAGGGACAGGATTGTGTCTTGGTCACAGAGGGATCATCACCCTTCCTCTCTGCTTCTACTCCCTCCAGCCATCTCGGCCCTAAATTGCCAACACAGGCAGATTCCATTGGATTTAAGCCTTTCCTTCAGTCCCATCAGCACGAATTGGGCATATGGAATCCAGAGGTCTGTGAGTCACACTTTCTTAGGACACTCTCTACAAGTCTAGAGAAATGACCAGAAGGGGAAGGAAAGGAAGGGGCCCTGGGGTCCATCCAGAGCTGATGAAGAGGCCCTAAGCCGTACAAAGGTGGAGGCATCTTCAGGTGTGTGTCAAAGTACGAAGTGAACTGTATAAATTAGTGCAAGTCCAGCAACACCCTGGATTTCCCACGATGATTATTTTGAAACAGTTTAAACATTTTATTTTAGATCTCTTTTTCTGTTTTTTCCCCGAAAGCCCGCTGGCTCCTAGGTTGGCTGTTGCCCTAGGCACAGCTGAGCCCGCCTGTGGTTCTGCACTCGGAGGTGCAGAGAAGGCCGGAGCGTCACAGAGAGGCTCAGGACGTCAGGGAGCTGAGGGCCTAAGATAAATAAAGTATAAACAACCGCTGTTCGAGACTCAAGCCCGTGTCCTTTCGCCTCATGCGGGCCGCGCGCTGGCCAAGGGCGGAGCTGGATCCCAGGGAGCCGCTGTCTCCGCTTCGCCGCCCTTCGCGCGCCCCACTTCAGCCTTTCAGGGTAAGGCAGGAACCCTTTTTCCAGACGGCAAAGAAAGGAAAGACTTTGCCGGAGAAAGAGGCAGCGAAGGTGAAGATGGGCTCCTGGGTCTGGGCGTTGAGGAGGGTCACCTGTCCGGCCTCGTAGTCCAGGGCGACGCCCACATAGCGCGGGATCTCGCTCAGCGGCAGGTCGGTGCCCGGGGAGGTGCTGGCCCAGCACTGCTGGTGCGAGATGATCACGGCCCAGACGCCGTCCTCGGCGCTAAGGCCCATCTCCCCCTTCCTCCTCACCCCCTCCCCGGCCACCCCCACCGTGCAGCCGCCGCCGTCGCCGAGCTGCAGGTCAACCTGCCAGCGGTGGCGCCCCGAGGAGAAACCTGGGAAGCCCAGCACCGCCGGGAGGCCGTCGAAGCGCAGGGGGCTGTCTGGCAGGTTCTTCTTCTGCCGGGTGTACCTCACTGACTTCCTATCTTCTGAAAGAACCAGGCTCCGGCTGGCGGTCTGAGGGTCCAGAGTGATGACCCCTAGAGGGAGGAGAGCGCAGACATCAACAGCGGGCAGCAACCACAGATGTTCCTAGAGCAGGCCAGGCGCGTGGGAGGCAGAAGGAATACTGGACTTGGGCAGCCTGTCATTGGGCTCTGAACCGCCCTTCTACCTAATCAGCCAGTGGTGCTGTAAGGATTTGCTTCTCAAAGTGCACAGGGAGGGACCAGCAGCATCCCCATTGCCTGGGAGCTTGTTAGAAATGCAGAATATTGGGCCCGATCCCACCCTACTAAATCAGAATCTGCATTTTAACAGGATCCCTAGGAGAACTTTCTGCATGTTAAGTTTGAAAAGCACTGATCTATACCAGAGTGAGTGAGGTGATGCTTATGGAAACAATTTCGAAATTAAGCACCAATTTAAAAATAAATGTGATTTTTTTTAAATTGCACATTTGTTCAAATCAATAAAGAGTCCAGCACAATGCTGCTCAAAAAACTAAGACTTGATAAGTATTTTTCAACGAGTAACATCTATACAAGTAGATGACATTAATTGAGCACTTACTATGAGTCAGGTAATACACTAAGCTCTCTGCATGTATTAATTCATTTAGTCCTCACGGCTACTTATGGGACAGGTATAGTACCTTTTTTTTTTTTTTTCATTTTACTGATGAAGAAAATATTGCGGGACAGAGGCTTAATAACTTGCCCAGTGTCTCAGAGAACTCAAGCAATGAGGCTCCAGAATTAATGCATTTTATTGCTCTGTTTGCTGCCATGGATTGAATGGGTGAATGGAAGAATGACTCCCCAAGTCCCAAGCTGTTTACCTGAATCTATTTCCAGATGATGCGCCAAGTTTTCTGTGGGAAGCAGAAATAGAAAAAGAGATCTGTGACTTATTACTTCTTATAGGCACCCCCAGGGGCAAGGTGTCTTGAGTACAATGTGAAGATGAGGACAGAAGCCTTGGCTTCTGCTGTGGTCTAGTGGAGGAGAAGTGGTCCCCACCCTCCTGGAATCTCAGTCCCGCACCTGTCCTTAGGGAGTGGAGGAGATGCTCTGGGAATGGTGACCCTGAATTAACTGAGATCACTAAGGGAAGGCTCTGGGGAGGGAACATGTCTTGAGACGGGTTTCGAGGGCAGAGAAGGATGGAGATGGGTGGAAGGCAGGAGGGCAGCTAATGGGACTGGGGAAAACTGCGGCCCCTTCCCCTTTACCTGAGAACATCCTCATCATCTCTGGGAGGGTGAGTATTTTCCTGTGGAAATCACGGATCTTCTTGACAAGGTCAGGAGAGATGGCCTCAGGACTCACAAAAGTGTTCATCTCACACCTGCAGACAGGTTTGGTAACCAGTTAGGTCCACATTCCAAAAACAAATGTTTGGGTGAGACCAAGTGAGGCTAAAATCAGACTAAAGAATGATCTTGGCGTCTGTGGTGAATAATCAGATTGAGTATCGTTTCTTTACTTTTGCTGGAAATGTGTAGTTACTAAAGTAGTAGGCATTTCAGTTAAACCTGAGGAACCAATGATAATTACTTCTCAAGAATTGGCGGTAGGCCCCTTTAGGAGAATGTTTGGGTCTGTCGGGGCCGAGGGACAGAGATCATTACCCCTTTTGACCTCTAGAGGGCAACAGGGTACCATTTGGAAACAGCCTTAAACTACCCTTGTGTATGCTGCTATTTGTAAAGGAAAAGAGGCTAGAAGGGAAGAAAAAAAAGGATAAACGAAAATACATATTGCAATGAAAAAAACTCCTGATTCTGGTCCCAGCTCAGTCCTCATTAGACACTTGCTGCGTTACCTCTTCACCCCCCGAGGTCTGAGTTTCTTCATCAGCCTGGAAGATCCCCAAGCCTTTCTAGATCTAAACCTCTAATGCTCTTTGAAAAGCATGTTTGGAGACACTTCCTGATTCATGGACCCTGGGTTTATCTTCCCTGCATGTAAATAGGCACAAAGCACGTGACAAGTGTTCCCTAGTCACTACACCTCTCCTCATCTCAGTGCAGACTGCTAATGCTTATAGCAGACAGGGAAGGAAAAGGCCATGCGTTTACAATGCCTCTGGCTCCTGGTGGTTGTCCTTTTACAGTAGCATTAGAAAATCCTGAAGGAAACCAGAGATGTGTGTGAAAAATGAATGAATGAAAGAACAGGCTGGTATTCCCGGTTTCCATGCTTCTCACAGTCTACAGAAAGTATTCCTCCTTTGAATTACATTTTAAATGGTGTTAGATACTGACTCAAGTACTAATAATTTCATAGGTTAAATAAATGTTTCTGGATCAACCTAAAAACATGATTATTATTTATAACTTCACTTCTAGGGGAAAAATGTGTCCCCAATACCAACCAATTTAAAAATGAACCTTTAGAACGCAAATCTTTAGTGAGTTTGGACTGTTTGTGGATAGTTGAATGAGACAGTGTGTCTGCCAGAGTGCTTTTTCTTTCCTGGAAGAGGGGAAGTAAGTGGGTGGCAGTAAGTGACCCTGCCCCTTCCCCTTCAATCTTGATGTTGAGTAAAAGGAGGCAGGACTGGGGAGTGGGCCCTACCTGCTCTGGTTGACTCTGACGTCCTACAAAAGAAAGACAAGAACATACCTTTAGTTTCCATAAGTCCTTCCTGTCAGGGATTCTGTACATCCTTTTTTCCTTAAAATATGAGCTCAAAACTCTCCTTCTGCAGAGAGTTGTCCTGTTTAATTATCTACTCATTAGATTGTTCTTTAACACCATGTTTTCTTACAAATTTGGGTCTCTGTAGTCAGTTCATTTGTGCTGGTTTCCCTGTTTCAGCCTTATCGTGGGGTGGGTTGTGTCTGCAATGATTAGGAGGTGGTGGAGAGCAGGGGCCTGTCTTCAGTTATCAGCTGGACCTGATATGAACCAGGATCACATATTCATAACCACAGCAGACACCAGTTATTGAGTTCTTTCTGTGTACCAGTAACCATGCCAAGCATTTTATATGGATTGTTTCTTATAATTCTGCAACAACTTTATGAGAGAGGTGCTACTGTTGTCCCCATGCTTAGAGAGGTTAAGAGACTCAGTCAAGTCACACGATTGGAAGAGCCAACATTCAAATCCAAGACTATCTGACCCTAAAGCCCTTAACATGACCACAGTGTATGATTTGGGCAATTCTCCAGCCCCTCTGGGTCTGCACTCCCTTAACCTCTCTCCACTTCCCTTTCCTGCCTCTCTCCAGCCCACAGCATGGTGCCCACCCCCTTCCCCGTGGAGTCCCTCTTCTATCACATGAAGTAATAAGGTGTCTCTCACTTGTAGAAGCTCACTTGCTGGCTGCTGACACTTCTCCTCCAGCTCCTTGACCTGGGCTCCAAGCCGGGTGACTTCCTCAGAGACCTTTGTGATATATTCATCCCTCTCCTTCCAAATCTGCTGTTCCAGCTCCCGCAGCCTGGCCAGCAGGAGACACCGCTGTTGCTCCAGCTCCTGCTGCAGCCTCTCAAAAGCTGCTTCCACCTGATGCTTCTTGTTTTCAATCTGAGTCTGCAAGGGATAAAAAGTAGACATGGTTAGGAAGGGGCTCAGAGATAGCTTCTAGGATGATCATCTATATATTTGTTCTTGATTAACAGGGATAGAGAGTAACTAGTTCCAAAACTTATTCTATTTACTAATACACCTAGAAGTAGATAGGTCTCAGGATGAACTTACAAGTGATGAGGACTGTGCTACTGTCTTAGCTAGAGATTCTAATAATAATACTACATTATGCTCTCAGAATTATGTTGAAATTTTCAAAAACATTTCCACAACTACAATACCATCTTAACCCTACTATACCTTCTTAAAGTTAGGGGGGAAGACTGTAGTCATTTCTTAGAGGCAAAAGGAAGTTGTGATACGAGTCAACACAACTTAGTGGGAGAGTGTGTAATTTTGGTTTTAGCCATGGAAATCACCAACTACAGGGCATACTTTGATGAGAGCTGAGGGATAGTGGAGAAGTTGTTTTGTCCCCACACTCTCTCCTTGGTCAAGGTACTAGAAATCCCCACACTGTGATTCCTCCATAACTTTATAGCATGAAAAAAGAGGCATGAGGGACCCAGATGTAGCCACACCATCAGCCTACTGTCCTCAAGGTCAGCCTGTGGTCAGGACTAGAATCCAGACACTAATATACGCCTTCTGACCCCAAGCTTCCCATCTGAAGGTGGTGTGTTCAGGCAGACAGACAAAGATGGAAAGAACAATGAATTAAGGGTCAAGAAATCCAGGTTCATTATGAAATTGCACTTTGCTATGTGGCCTTGGGAGCATTGCTTTTCTGGACCTCAGTTTTCTGCTCTGTAAAATGTGATATATAAGATGGATCTTGGATTGCAAGACATCAGAACCACTTCTAGTGCCCATGGTCTGAGATCCCAAATGCCTTTGTGCAGCCACAGGAAGGTGAATGAGAACAGTTTGCCAGGAAACAGATACCAGCCAACAGGTTTCCCCAGAGTCTCTTAAGAAAACCTTCAAAGGAAAAGGTAGCCAGTGAAGTGGCCTGTACCAGCAGCACTTGAAGCTTCTGGTCTTCTCGACACTTTACATCCTCAATCTCATCTCTCTCCATGCTCAGAGCTTCCAGTCGACTCCTGAGACGATCCTATGGAGAGAAGAATGGGTGGATAGAGGTGACTGAATTAATAATTCAACTCACAATTATTAACTATCGCATCCTGGGCACACTGTTAAGTGCTGAGGGATTCAAAGGTGGAAAAGGCCCAGTCCTTGTACCTATAGAGAGATCACCATCTCAGGAAGAAGTCAGTGTCGAGTGGCTAAAATACAGACAGACAAATGCAGTAGTCCAGAGGTACACACAGTAAGATGGGAACACAGAGGACAGCTCTGCCTGTAGGCCTAAGGGAAGGTTTGGAAAGCAGAAAACATTTACAGTGCACCTTGAAAGATAAGATAAATTTCCAGTTGAATAGACAGGGAGAGAAAAGGACTTAGTGCCCACAGATGTGAAGGACCTCTTCAAGGAGAACTACAAACCACTGCTCAAGGAAATCAGAGAGGACACAAACAAATGGAAAAAATATTCCATGTTCATGGATAGGAAGAATCAATATTGTGAAAATGGCCATACTGCCCAAAGTAATTTATAGATTCAATGCTATCCGCATTAAGCTACCATTGACTTTCTTCACAGAATTAGAAAAAACTACTTTATATTTCATATGGAACCAAAAAAGAGCCCACATAGCCAAGACAATCCTAAGCAAAAAGAACAAAACTGGAGGCATCATGCTACCTGACTTCAAACTATACTACAAGGCTACAATAACCAAAACAGTATGGTACTGGTACCAAAATAGACATATAGACCAATGGAACAGAATAGGGGCCTCAGAAATAACTCCACACATCTACAACCATCTAATCTTTGACAAACCTGACAAAAACAAGCAATGGGGAAAGGATTCCCTGTTTAATAAATTGTGTTGCGAAAACTGGCTAGCTATATGCAGAAAACTGAAACTGGACTCCTTCCTTACACCTGATATAAAAATTAACTCAAGATGGATTAAAGACTTAAATGTAAGACCTAAAACCATTAAAAACCCTAGAAGAAAATCTAGGCAATACCATTCAGGACGTAGGCATGGGCAAAGACTTCATGACTAAAACACCAAAAGCAATGGCAACAAAAGCCAAAATTGACAAATGGGATCTAAACTAAAGAGCTTCTGCACAGCAAAAAAACTATCATCAGAGTGAACAGGCAGCCTACAGAATGGGAGAAAAAAAATTGCAATCTATCCAAATGACAAATGGCTAATATCTAGAATCTACAAAGAACTTAAACAAATTTGCAAGAAAAAAACAAACAACCCCATCAAAAAGTGGGTGAAGGATATGAACAGATACTTCTCAAAAGAAGACATTTATGCGGCCAACAAACACACAAAAAAAGCTCATCATCACTGGTCATTAGAGAAATGTAAATCAAAACCACAATCAAATACCATCTCATGTCAGTTAGAATGGCGATCATTAAAAAGTCAGGAAACAACAAATTCTGGAGACGAAGTGGAGAAATAGAAATGCTTTTACACTGTTGGTGGGAGTGTAAATTAGTTCAACCATTGTGGAAGACAGTGTAGCGACTCCTCAAGGATCTAGGACCAGAAATGCCATTTGATCCAGCAATCCCATTACTGGGTATATACCTTATACACATCTAGATGTGTATAAGAGACAGGTGGAAGACAGTGTAGCGACTCCTCAAGGATCTAGGACCAGAAATGCCATTTGATCCAGCAATCCCATTACTGGGTATATACCCAAAGGATTATAAATCATGCTACTATAAAGACACATGCACACGTATGTTTATTGCAGCACTGTTCACAATAGCAAAGACTTGGAACCAACCCAAATGCCTGTCAATGATAGACTGGATAAAGAAAACGTGTCACATATACACCATGGAATACTATGCAGCCATAAAAAAGGATGAGTTCATGTCCTTTGCAGGGACATGAATGAAGCTGGAAACCATCATTCTCAACAAACTAACACAAGAATAGAAAACCAAACACCACATGTTCTCACTTGTAAGTGGGAGTTGAACAATGAGAGCACATGGACACAGGGAGGGTAACATCACACATCAGGGCCTGTCAGGTCATGGGGGGCTAGGGGAAGGATAGCATTAGGAGAAATATCTAATGTAGATGATGGGTTGATGGGTACGGCAAACCACCATGGCCCGTGTATACCTGTGTAACGAACCTGCATGTTCTGCACATGTATCCCAGAACTTAAAACATAATAAAAATTTTTTTTATAAAAGAAGAAGACTTAGTGCCCCTGAATTGTATACTTAAAAAGAGAGAGGTGGAGGAAGGTGAGAAGAGTATTCTAGGAGGAAGATACTATGTTCAAAAAGTACTGGAAGCAGGAATGAATAAGACAGTTGGGGAAAATAACAGCAAACGCAGCTCAGTCTGGCTAGACATATGGTGCCTTGAGGAGGGTGGCTGAGCGATGAGGCTGGATGGGGAGGAAGGATCCCGACTACAAAGGGCCTTGAATGTCTTGCTAAAGACGTTGGACTTTCTTTGGGCACTAGGGATACATGGGAGGATTTTGAGCAGAGGAGTGACTTTGTGTTTTAGGAGGATCTGTCTCCCAGCAGATTGAAAGGTGACTGGAAAGGGTGGGAATGGAGACAGGGAATGCAGTTGAGACTGCAAAGTCTGGGCAAGAGATAGGGAGAACCTGGCTGACAGGATAAGGCAGAATTAAAGATTTGGGAGATGTTTCTAAGGAAACCACTTCCAGACCTGGTGACCGGTTGACAAGAGAGAGATCTGAGAGGCTGATGGGAAAGTGCCCCAAGATCAGATGGGAAATTCTCACAATTCTGGACACTGCCGCCCTCCCTTTCTCAAGAAGGAGAGCAGTGCTAGCAAGTGCCCCAGCTCCTCCCTCCCCTCTGCGCCCTGGCAGTCAGGGCCCTAGAAATCCCATTTCCAGTCTGGATCCTGGGAGAACAAATTCCCCCTGCCCATAATCTGCAGAAGATTCCACTTGCACTGCAGCTTTCTTTCCACAGTGAGTGAAGCCACGGCTACAGTTCTTTGCACTCCATCTCTGAGGGGTCCTCTGAGAGCTGGAGCTGAAGTTCCCCCCAGACCAGGAACTAGCACACATCCAAGTGGAGCCTATCTGCCTTCAGTCTGGGAATGCCTCCAAAGTCCCTATAACCTTAGGGTTCCCTGATGTGGAAGCCAGGTCTTTCATCCAGATCCCCACCTGATTTCCTCCCATTATAACAGGACATCATCCTGCCCCAAACAGGCCCTAGGTAAAGTCACACTTCTTACCCGGTAGGGCTGAATGGCTTCGTCCAGGAATCCCACGGTGTGCGCCTGGTGGGTGGGACCTTCTCTGCAGAACACACAGAGGAACTCGGCGTCGTTCTCGCAGAAGAAGTAGATCTTCTCCCCGTGCTCCTCGCAGTAAGTCTCTCCCAGCGGGCCCAGGGGCACAGGGGCCATGGGAGTCTCTGCCTGCTCCTCCTCTTGGCAGAGCGGGCAGAGCAGGATCTTGCCCGAGGACTGGGCCCCCATCTGGGAGAGCGTGGGGAGGCAGAGCCGGCAGAAGGTGTGTCCACAGGGAGCGGTCACCGCATCCTCCAGCGGCCCCACACAGAGGGTACAGGCGGGCAGCTCGTGGACCACCTTCAGGGACGGGGTTGAGGGCATCACGGTGCCTTCCCCAGCCCGTCCACTCCGGCCTCCTTCTCAGACCACGCGAATTCCGTTTCCCTGAAATCGAGTCACACACGAATCGCAGAGTGAAAGGGCTGCAAGGCAGAGAGAGAGAGAGAGAGAGAGAGAGGAATGCCAGCACAGGGAAGCCACCTGGCTCCGCCTCCTGTGCTCCCTAGAACCCTGGCCACCACCTATCAGCGGAGTGGGTCCAAATTCCAGGGCGTCTTGAATTACCCAGAATTTCCCAGCGGCGGCCAAGTAAACCAGTTCTTTACTCCTGGCTCCTTCTGGTCCCTAGGGTGGAGAACAGAGCACACCATGAGGTCACAGGGAACCGAGGTTTCCTGGAATCTCTAGACCACAGTGGCTGGGGAGAAGTGGGGAGCAGACGCTTCCTGTCAGATTGAGCAGGTGGGTGCCATAAACTTCTAGCTTTGAGGCGTGCCCACAGCATCAAAGTCCAAGCTGGAGTGAGAGGTGTGGACGTCGGGAGATTCTGTGGGAAGTGTGTGGGCGGGACGCTGTTTCGACACTGCGGGTCGGGTGTAAGGATTGCTCATCGGGACCCCTCTTCTCCGCTTTCCTCCCTCGCCACATCTGCCCATGGTGGCCCCTCCTACGGTCCCAAATCCCCCACCACCTGGCACAACAGTCCCCGCAGGGGTTCAGGTAACACTGGACGATCTTATTTATTTATTTATTTATTTATCTATTTATTTATTTTTCACTGTAGCAGGGAGAAGGCAAGAAACCGTAATGCAAATGATTTATGTTGATACACGTTAGAAAATGATTAGTCAAAAAGATAAACAGTTTCAGCCACATTTATCTAGGGTTTAGTATTTTTATATTACTACATTCAATTTTAATAACCCTCTAGACAAACATTATTACCTTCATTTTTACAGAGAAAGAAATGTAAACTGACTTTCCAAATGTAAAGTGACTTTCCGGAGGCCCCGGGGCTAGAAAGTATCATGTCAGGGACGATCCCAGTCTCCTGGAGTAAAGCCCTACGCTCCTCCCACACCCCACGCCAGGACCAAGATCAGCTGCCACGGTCTTTCATCCACGCGCTCACATCTGTGGATAAAACCAGACCTTCCCCCATTCTCCCACTGGGTGATCAGCCTAGCCCCTTGTGGTTGCTCCCTTTTTACTCTAAGCACTTCATCTCCTCCCCTTCCCACCCGATCTCTGCTCTTCCTGCCACCAGTGTAGCCCAGGAGCCAATTTGTCCAATACAGAAGCCACCAGTCACATGTGTCTACTGAGCACTGAAATGTGGCCGGTCTGAATGGCGGCGTGCTGTATATATAAAATACACACCGGATTTCTCTTTTTTTTTTTCTTTTTCTTTTTTTTGAGATGGAGTCTCGCTCTGTTGTCTAGGCTGGAGTGCATTGGTGCGATCTCGACTCACTGTAAGCTCTGCCTCCCGGGTTCACACCATTCTCCTGCCTCAGCTTCCCGAGTAGCTGGGACTACAGGTGCCCGCCGCCACACCCGGCTAATTTTTTTTGGTATTTTTAATAGAGACGGGGTTTCACCATGTTAGCCAGGATGGTCTCGATATCCTGACCTTGTGATCCACCCACCTCGGCCTCCCAAAGTGCTAGGATTACAGGCATGAGTCACCGCACCTGGCCAACACACTGGATTTCAAAGGCTTTGCACAAATTAAAAAATGTAAAATATCTTATTAATAACTTTTTATAAGGATCACATACTGAAATGATAATATTTTGGAAATATAGGACCAAATAAAAATATCATTAAAATTACTTTCACCTGTTTAGACTATTTTTATATGGCTCCTAGGAAATTTTAAATTGCATATGTGGCTCACATTGCATTTATGTTGAATGGTATTGCTTGGAAGACATAGATCTGACAGCAAATTATTTATGGTCACTCACCTTCTTACTTGTGTGCCTTGGGCAAGCTGAACAACCTGGCTGGGCCTCAGCTTTCTCATTTATGAAATGGAGATCCTAATAGTACTGATGTTGCAGAGCAGACACAAAAATAAGATCATACTTTTAAATTGCTTATATCAATGTAAGATGTACCGTCATCATAAATAAATTCTGGCCATTGCTAGTTTTCTTTCTCCTCCCCAGCATAGGGAATATTCCAGCCTCTTTCGAGGCTTGCGGCAGGCCAGTTGAGGCATCACCATTTAAGTTGCTGGTGCAGTGTACACCCTGGCACAAGGACCTTATCTGAGCCTCACACTCTCCTGCTTGCTGATGGGCAAGCCCTGGACTGGCTGATACCTCCAATCTCTTTGGAGACAGCTGGCCATATTGCAGGAAGGCTGGAGTGGCATCTCCACTCTGTGACCCAGTCTCCCACCTGCCCCCAAAAGAATATTTCTTTTGACAGTGGACAGCTGACATATCACCACTTTCCTTCTACTGTGAGTGTATCTAGATGGACGGAAAGGAATGGCCAGCCCCTGGTTATGGTCATCTAAGATCACCTCTGAAATGCTGTGAGCCCCTCTTCCTTCCTCTCCTCTGTTATTTCCCATCTCTGCTGTTGGCAGGAGAATAGAATCCTGGCTGCCAGATATGCAAGTGTGTGACGATATGGGTGCTGGTGCATATTTAATATGTACCTGTGTCCAGCCATGTGCACATGTGGGTGTGTGAGTGTGTGGCCCAGCCCTTCCCCCGTGGCCAAGCAGAGAGGGTGGCCTTGAGGAAGCCATAGCAGCATGGCCTCTGCTGCCTCTGTGACCAGCCTGGCAGATGAAGTCAACTGCCCCATCTGCCAGGGTACCCTGAGGGAGCCGGTCACTATCGACTGCGGCCACAACTTCTGCCGGGGCTGCCTTACTCGCTACTGTGAGATCCCAGGCCCAGACCTGGAGGAGTCCCCTACTTGCCCACTCTGCAAAGAACCCTTCCGTCCTGGGAGCTTCCGGCCCAACTGGCAGCTGGCTAACGTGGTGGAGAACATCGAGCGCCTCCAGCTGGTGTCCACACTGGGTTTGGGAGAGGAGGATGCCTGCCAGGAGCACGGAGAGAAGATCTACTTCTTCTGTGAGGATGATGAGATGCAGTTGTGCGTGGTGTGCCGGGAGGCTGGAGAGCACGCTGCCCACACCATGCGCTTCCTGGAGGATGCGGCGGCTCCCTATAGGGTAGGAAAGGGGAACTGGGGGATCCCAGGGTGGACTGGACAGGACTAAGAGAAACAGCAGAGTTGTGGATTATTTAGGCCGCCTGGAGGCCAAATTCTTTCTCCTGACTTACATGATCACCCAGGCAATAGACCCAGGCATGGAAAATTATGTTTATGTTTTATGTTTTTTTTTGAGTGTGTTCTGTATTCACTTGTGGCCAACAGATAATGGGAGTTCAACAAATACTTGTTGAATGAATGAGTGACCAGAACATGAGTGTGTATGTCTGTGCCATGGATCAGGTGTGTCTGAAGTTTGTATCTGAGGGAATGATTGTACAAACAGTGTGTATATGTGTTAACGTTTGCATGTTGAGAAGTGTGTCTGGTGTGTTTGTGTGGGAGTCTGAGTATGTATGTATTTGAGTGTGTGAGTGTAACTGAGAGCTCCTGTTTGTGAAAAATTCATGTTTACATATATTCAGGTTGGGTAAATATATGTGGCATGCCATTTTATCTGTCATTAAATGAGTGTGTGCTAGTTTTAGTTATTCATGCATTGTGTTTATGAATTGTGTTTTAGTACAAGTCTGTGTGTGGATGTCTTAATTAGTTAATTAGCAACTGATAGTGAGATTTCTAATATATCTTTGAACACACATATTTATAATGTATGTGTACCTGTTCCTAACTCTATTCTGGAGCAAATAATTTTGAAAACAATTTATCAATTATTTTTACATTACCCAAGTTTCTTCTCCCCTTTGGAGTCATATACAGATAATTGATTCCAGTAACAAGGGAGGGTTATTATTTACACATGTTCCTTTGGGATGTGTGGGAAACTGGAATGATTTCAGTGCAGGGCATATCAAACTCAGGACAGACCCCAGATACCACTTACCGAAGCAAAACACAATAGAATGTTTAACCTGAAGAAAGACTCAAGTGGGAAAACCAAGTCACAGCCTCTAGTGGCACAGGAGAAAGGGGAAAGTCCTGACCCAAAGTCGTGGAGACAAATCAAGAGGAACAGACCTAAAGGGACTAAGCTGTTGGGGCGGTGGAGGCTCGGGGATTGTCAGCTAAGGAAGAGACTCCTCTCCTGGGGCCACTTCATTCCTGGAGGCAGAGGCTCAGATGACAAGACAACCCTGAACAAATCAATATCCATCTTGAGTATTTTATGTTCCTTCTCCCCAGGAACAAATACATAAGTGTCTTAAATGTCTAAGAAAAGAGAGAGAGGAGATTCAAGAAATCCAGTCAAGAGAAAATAAAAGGATGCAAGTCCTCCTGGTAAGTCATCACCCCTTCCCCACGTTCCTCCCCTTCCTCACGGTCCAATGTCTTCCTGAAACTGAGGCAACATAGATTATAGGGCTTTGAAGTTATTATGAGTTTAAATCCTGACTCTGACACTAACTCTATGACCTCAAGCAACTCTCTAACTTCAGTTTACTTATCTGTAAAATGGAGAGTAAAAATCATCATGATCTCATTGAATTACTGTAAGTATTAAATGAGACTGTGACTGTAAAGTAGCTCAGGGCTGCGCACATAGTGTGCTTTTCATACAAGACAGGAGGTAGGGTGTCCCCACCACCTCCTCCTACACCTCCTCTAAGCCCTACCCTCTTTTAGAAGCTGCAGCAGATGGTGCTGAGACAGCACTGTGAGTCTTGCTCCCTGAAATGGGATGACAGGTGAAGAGGAAACCATGATGCAGTTCCAGATCTACCTGGGGACAGGGTAGGAGGAAGAGGAGCAGAGGGAGAAGGAGGAAGCAAACTTTCTCTTGGGCTCTCCTCCTGCCCCCTCAGACTCAGGTGTCCACCAAGAGACAACAGGTGATTTCTGAGTTCGCACACCTGAGGAAGTTTCTAGAGGAACAGCAGAGCCTCCTCTTAGCACAACTGGAGAGCCTGGATGGAGACATCTTGAAGCAACAGGATGAATTTGATTTCCTGGTTGCTGGAGAGATCTGCCGGTTTAGTACTCTTATTGAAGAACTGGAGGAGAAGAATGAGAGGCCAGCAAGGGAGCTCCTGACGGTGAGGCCTGAACCTGAACCCTGCCCCACCTGTGCTGTCCTGTGACTCTTGTATCTTTGCCTTGCCTAAGTCATGTCTCCCTGACTCACACATCTCCGTATCCCAGATGGGAGGTGGGTCAGAGGACCAGAAGGTCTCAATTCTGGTTCATGCTTTTCCAAGTGTTCCCTGGTCACTTTTTGCTCTTTGGTCTCCACCTCTCCATCCCACCATCTGCCAAAAAAGGAGG